TGATTCGAGAATTTACGGTATACACGGTGTCTGTGTCTTATAAGAGCGTGGTCACGAATAAATCTCACATGATATGTTGGTGTGTCCATCAGACCGCTTAATGTTACAACCATTATTCAATCTTCTGACCTTTCATTCAAAGAAAAAAGTTAATATAAAACTTTAAGGTAAAAAGCTGTTAAAATTATGAGTCTAAACGTTTTCGATCTGTTTGATCATCATCTGATGATGATCAAACAGATCGAAAACGTTTAGACTCATAATTTTAACAGCTTTTTACCTTAAAGTTTTATATTTTACTTTTATCGGCGAAATGTAGATAAAAAACTTAATGTTTTTAACTCGTTTCTTTTCAGCGTTAAGTACTATCGGTTTTGGTGACATGGTACCCAGGAAAGGACGCGAACCTTCATCCGGGATCCAAACGCTTGAACTTGTCATCAGGGCCCTATACATTGTAGTTGGCCTCGCCCTGGTGTCGAGTCTTCTTTCTGCTGTAGTGTCTGCAGCTGAAGTGTTTGACAGATGGAATATCTGCAGACGGACAAAATGTATGTATCAAGGTTCAATGTCTTCCGGCCCCGATGCTACTGATTTTGTTAAGTTTAAGGTACAACGTAATCTCGGCTTAACAAAATCAGATATAAGTTTGTCGTCCGAACCATTTCTAAGGACGGTGAAAGGCTTTTTAAACTAATCGGCCATTCCAGAGTTACCTTGTGCGGTGGGGGATCCAGACCTTGAGCTAAGGGGTGGGGGAGGGGGTGTTTTGCTTGCCCTACCGTCTTTTCTTCTTTCTGTGATTTCTTCTTTTTTTTGCCCAAAATAAGGGGGGAAGGGAGGGAAGGGGGGACGGGGCCCTCCCCTAGATCCGCCACTGTTGTGGCTCTGTTTCAAAACGAGTCCTCGTGTAAAACCTTTCATATGAAAATAAGTTTGATTTGCATGAAAATGAACCTGTAGGCGAAACACTTTTTCATATGAATGGTTTTGCATGAAGACTCATTTTGACAAAGAGGCAAAGGCAACTCTACTCATTACTCGAGCAGATTAATTAAGGTCTAGGTCTGGAATGTAAAGTAGAATTATGGTTGGGCGGCTATATCTGTTGTTATATTTGTTTCATGAAGCTAAAATGTTCCCTTATTAACCTCGGTGTCCTGCTTTGACTTAACATACTGTTTTGATCACGTGACGTGTCACTTGATCATTTTAATAAATATTGGTAAATCGGCAAATTGGTGACGAATTTTAATTGCCAACTTGGAAAAATGTCCTGAGTGAAATCAGTGTCGTCATTTCCTTTCAGTCCTATTATTTTGCTTTGCCTACACCAGGTCTCTGCTGCCATCGACGATTGAGCGCAGGATTTTCTGAGGGTCGGGGTCGAAGCTCTGATGGTTTGTACTCAACCTCTCGCAGCCTGGATAACATAGTGTTCCCTTCAGTGATCCCTTACAGGCGATTCGCTTCAGATGAGGCAACACCGCTGACCAATGATCCTCGCTGGCTCTACTAAGCAAATGAATTCTGAGTTAAAATGAAATAAAAATAAAGAATATTATAATGTATTGCCTTGATAAGATGTAAATAGCTATGAGTAATTATGCTAGGTAATGTAAAAGGAGCCTATAAAAGTACATTGTCCAACCAAGAATAGCCTGCCTTCGCCTAAGATGTGATGATGATGATGTCGTTCCACTACTTATTGAAAAAACACAACCATGGTTAAGTACATTTTTGCCACTCATGATAAGTATATTTCATGTAAATATTCGTAACTGCTAAAAACCCGCTAAAGCAGCTGAAGGCCCGTGTTCTACTGGAAAGTATTTTCCCGAAATACAGTAGTGACCAGGCTGAGACTGAACACATTCCTGAAGATCAACTGAACTTTTTTGTGCGAAATTTCAAACTGATCCTATTATTACATTTTAACAATAATGTGATTTATCATAACTTTCATGGGATCTGTACAGTGCCGCGCCCAAATTATAGCTAAGCCAAAAATCATATAGAATCATAAAAACGCCATTATAGTTTTCGCAACACTTTTATTCTGATGTGCTTAATATCAGTCAAGTTTTTCTTTAGTAGACGGTCGATGAGAATAAAGATGAAGCAATTTATTAGAGGCATCTGTGTCTTGATAAGCCACCAAGCAAATAACTTGCATGTATGAAATGTATATGTAGGAAGCTTCTCTGCCAGTATGCTTTCTAGTTATCAAGCTTCTGCCAGTACTGAACTCAATATTTACAGTAAGACAATTCATGGACGGAAGTGTTTTTAATGTCTTTCATGAAAGCACAGAACAAAGAGGAACAGCTTTCGCGTGTCTATGGAGGTAATATGTCAAACACGAAAGACAACGTTTCATCGAGACATCCTAACACCGAGAAGAGAGTTGGAAATACGACACGCAGCGGAGTATTTTAATCGAAATTCGAGACGTTTGGATAGCCGATGAATCACTGTCTTTCGCGTTTGATATATCTTCTCAATAGAAACAAAAACTAAGGAGTAAACGAAGAAGTAAAATCATCAAAATCTATGCCAGTTAAGATCGGGTATCCAAACCTCCTTCACGGTTGTAATTTTCTTTGTTTTAACTTGATGAATTATTAACGAGTTTCAGAAGTACAGAGTGAAATCTAGCTAGCTGAAAGATTGACAGGACTCAAAACAGTTTCTAGGATGTTTCCTAAGATAAGCGTCCACCTTACATATTTTGTATATAAATTAGTTTAAGATAACTGCGCTGTTGAACCCATGGATAAATCAACATTGTTCTTTTGGCGAGTAAATGATTCACCAGCTGCCTCCTGTAACCCCTGTGATAGCTGGAGGATAAGGAATCGTGTTCAGCTCGTAAAACAGTGTGGCCCAAATGATGGCCAGCCGAGTCCACCTAGGAAAGATTCAGTTCGGTGTTAACGTGAATTAAATTAATAGTATCATGGGCGACAAATTGCTCCTTGATTTTGGAACGAAATGTCAGCGTTAATTTATTGTTTCACGTGTGAAATTACAAAATTGCTATGGTAACGCTCAGCGCGAAATTACTCGCTACAATAAACAACTCGCTCGATTGTAAGTGTAATGTGTCACCCATGATATTAAAAGGTAATCAAACAGAAAACTCGTGAAATTGAAAGAAATAACGTCACCTGCGTCCCGTCAAAATTCAAATAATTTCCCTCAACTAAAGGCTCGGGAAATTATCAGAAGTTTGACAAAACGCACGTGAAATTATTTCCAAACTTCACTCGTCACCATCTGATTACCCATTCTAATTTACTGAATCAATCGTTACCAAATTAAATTAAATTCAATTATACTTTTTTGGGTCAATTATTACCAAATTAAGCCTTCAGCGAATTGCACTTGATTGGTTAGGCCCGATTCCCACTGCTCTCTCGAGTCCCAACGAACGCGGGCCCGTTTCCCGAACAGCGGTTGCTAATCGAGCCTTGGACTAAGTTACACCTACAAAGGGTCGACGAGGAATTATCATATCGAGAACCCTCTTACAATTCAACATTTTTAAAAGAGATGATGTCGTGTCTTTGCTTAATGTTAGCGCCAGTGAGGACTTAAAGTCGCCATAGACGCCACAAAATTCTAGTCTCGTAAAGAAATTAATACAAAAATTGCCACAGCTTGCACGGACATGATTCATTCAATGTACTCCGCCACCATGACTGAAAACACCACAGGCCGAGACGATAATAAAACATGCTGACTGTCCACTTCTAAAGAAATTCGTCTCTCAAATTTCTGAATAATAGAGCGATTTTCACTTGAGTGTCTATTGCTTTGGTTTTGTGTTACCAAGCCAAGCGGAAACTCCAATTTGGAGAGGCGTACGGGCACCTTCGGACTTGGAAGGGGGGGTGGGGGGTGGGTGAGCTTATTGGCCGAAAGAAATACACAATGGCCGAGAGCATGTGTTGTACAAACGCACTCAAATCGCAGTAAAACCAAAAACGTTCACAATTCTCACGTCTAATGAAACTATTATCATTCCAAAATTACAGAAGAATCCCAATTCTTCGAACCTCTAAGGGAAACGAAAACTGGTTCGAAAAATCGGATAGTTCGAGAAATCGGGGTAAAATTACAACATTACAATTACAATATTCGACTGAGTAGAGGGAAACGAGTTTTGCTTCGAGTTATCGGGTGGTTCGAAAAATGGGGGTTCGAGAAATCGGGATTCCACTATTTGACCTTAACACCGTCTTGACAACGCAAACGTCAGAGAAAGTCGCTTACAAGCCTGGCTTTGACCACCTTTTAGAATGTTTTCTCCCAAGTACTTTTGCCCGAATCATCAGCGTTTTGCCCGAAAAATTTCAAAAGTTTCT